ACAGCAACAACAATGATGACTGGTAGTGTGCTGTGGTTGTGCGAGTATGACTGGGACTGTCGACTGTCGATGACGTTGGCTTCAAAGAGAAAAGCGCGGGCTCGGCTCAAGCGAAACGATCAAGAGCCGCGGATTGGTCGAAATGGTCGGGATTGGATCTGTACGATCGGTAAGATCGGTCTTGGCCAAGATGATTTAAGCAGAGCACTGAGAAAACTATTACGAAATGATCAAAGCATCAAAGCAGCTATAACAGAATCAAATCAGGCGAAGACGATGGCTTTAGCTATAGCGACCTGATCTTCTGGACCCCGAACGGCGATGGCTGTGCGCTATTGCGATCGTATCGTATCGGATTGGATCGGTTCGAGACTCGATTACAATAATTACAATCGGCTACGCGCGATTCACCAAATCACAGCAACAACAAATACAGTGTGGCCTGCATCTCACAGATATGGATGCAGATACTCAGGGGCGTTTCTTGATGTGGAATTTCAAATTTGAAGGGGTGTTTTTTGGCAAATTCGTTGGTAGCTTAAATGGATTATATGCTAAGCAGATTTTTAAAACAAAGTATTGACTAAACTTGGTTTCTTACATTTATTTAGCGCAAAAGTTAGGATGTGAACTACATTTTTTCAAGCCAAAAATGGTTACGCCCCTGCGGTTGCAGATATGTATATTTGTATGTCTTACAGATATGGGGGCAAACTACAGTATAATTTCATGAGTTTCAGAAGAGCTACATCAAAATATTAAATTTCTTACAAGAAGGCAGTTTATTGACATAGTACTTTCAATTATATCAACTTTTAAATAAATATTCCTGTGACTTGTGTTAAAATAAATTTGTTCTTAGTTTAACTATCGCATTAATCCAATAACTCTGTTATTCTGATCATAAAGTTTATTTTGGGAGGACTATAAAAATGTAAAGTTTTATAGTATAAACATGGTTCATCTTAAGGAGATATAGATTTTGAAGTCTGACTTGAAGGGGCTTCACTGTATTACGTGCATATAAACAATCTTTATAAGAAATTGAAGTCAAGAAGCAGAATTAAAACAAAACTCATCAACATCAACGGGCACTCACACGCAGAGCCATCAATTGACGCGACTGTGTGTGCAGTGTGTGTGTGGGGAGAGAAGAAAGGCAAGGAGGAAAAAAGAAGAGTCAAGAGGAGAATCGAGAGGAGACAGGGATCCATCTTCTAGGCTCCATTTGGCAAAGCGAATCGGGCAGAACGAGAAATTGAAAAGACTGTTACAACCTCATAATGAAGTTGGGCTCTCCTCTATCCCTCCCTTTCCCCCTTCTATCCATCAGCTATCTGTATCTTTCCCCTTGTCTTTTCTCTTGGTGACTGACGACTGCGAAAAAGTTTACAAAATCCCCAGCAAAACCGCATGCTATACAAAAACACACAATCACAATTGCCGCACACACAGATACACTTTGCACATACACTCTTACAAATCGTTATGTGATGTTGTTGTATATAAGGGGAGCATAGCTTTTTTTGTTTTTGCAAAATTGAGTGGTAAAAGGGCAGTGAGAATGAGAACCTGATAGATACGTAAGAGAAAGAGAGAGAGACTGGGAATTCCTCTCTTGCATGCGATTTTTTTGTACGCGTTCAACGGTAGCTGCGCACGCGTTAAAACGATCTTTCAGATACGTCATAAAATAAAGATGTTCATTATAAACAAAGAGTTTCGGGCACTGAATGCTATCTGTTGAATAATTTAATTTAATGAACTTTCCACAATGAAACAAGACTTGGTTACTGCTGCTTAAAAAGAGAACCACTTTTCTTGCTTGTGTTTTGCATATTTTAATATTGTAAATATGAGACTTAAAACTAATTTCAAACATTAACGTAACCTCTTTAACTAAATAAAAGATTAAATAAACACCTTTTTTTTTAACAAATTCTTCGATATATTTTCGGTTTTAGGATTTTGGTTTTTAGTTTATTTGTTAAATTTTTAGAAGACTAGTTGTTTTCTGTATTAATTCCTTTTTATCAACTTCCAAGTCCTTTTAAAGATTGTTTATTTTAGGAATAGATGTAAAAAACTACACATTACGAAAGTCTCCTCCAACCAAATTCGGTTCAATTTGGTTTGTAAGTCTTAAGTAAATTCCTAATTCGTTTTAGAGAGATTTATGTGACACCGCAGATATAAAGCATTTTGATTTAATTTACGTATGTTAACTTATTTTAATTAAAGTATACCTCGCTTAATCGTTTCCGTTTAGTAAATCTCAGTCAGGCTTTGACTTCCTCATGGTCTTTCGAGCGTTGACCAGCACTGCGGCAGATGCAACTGCATTCGAATTCACTTTTGGCCAAAAGGCGCAACTCACACAGATACTTTGGCCAAGACACACACACACCGATGCAGTGCCCCCGCACTGACACATACACAAATGCAGCACACACCTACGTGGGATCGGTGGCAAAGATGCAAGATGCACTCGCTTGCAACTGGCTTTTGGTCTATAATTCTTGTTTCTGGTTTTCGTGCTGCCAAGATAAGGAGTGGGACATGGCCAGCACAGCCTCTTCGTTATTACGATCCTCTGGCAACACGATCATCATCATCGTCATCATCATCATCTTTTCTGGGAGAAGAGGCCACAGGAAACTGCATCAGCATGGCGCTTTGTCTCCCAAAGGAAGCGGACCAGTAATATTTACATTTATTGCTAAATTATGCACACTTTTTTGTGCCGTATTCAGGTATTTTTATTTGCAGGCCCATCTTTTTCACGAATAATTATTCAGTTGATAAGTCATATCTCTTGCATTTTACATCTGATTAGAAAGATTGGCTTTGTATTCACCGCGACGTCAAAATATATTTTAAATATTTTTTGGTATACCTAAAACACTGATACTAACTTTTTAAAGCTTTTTTTTCAATAAAATAATATGTTTGATTTCGAATCAACGTCTTTTCTATTCTTAGATTATTTAAAAGCAAATAATATTGAAATAACCTTAACTTGGGATTATACTAAATGTAATATTTTGTGAAAGGCTTCTTTGGAAAAATTATATATAATCTATTACTATTTGTATTAAAAATATGTATTTATTTTTAATTATTTTCATGTCCAGACTTTTAACACTGCAGAAATTGAGCAATCATCGCCGGTTTGTTTTTTACTTAAAAATAAACAACGCCATTTATTAATGAGTTTGTAATTTGAATAAAATTCATGACGTGAGCCCATTTCTATGGGGTCGCAGCACAATCTCTGTGGTTTTCCACGGTGAAAAGCGTTGCGATTGCTACTAATGGCCAGAGATTTTCATGGAAAGTTGGTGCGGTTGGCTGTTGCTGCTTTTTCTGGCTTATGAAAATTTCACGCCAGTCGAAAAGAATTATTAATTGCGCAGCGGCAACGGGAACAACAACAAAAACAAAAACAAAACAACATTAGCCACCACCGCAGAAGACAACAACAACTAAAGCAACAGCAGCCGCACACAAATTTCAAAAGTGGGAATTATGCATCGCTGCGCAGAAGCAGAACTCTAAAAACGCACATAGGGAAAATCCGAGGGTATTCCATGTATATTTGTATCTGTGTGTGTGTGTATCTGTAAGCGCGTGTAAAATATGGTAAACATGGAAATACGTAATAACTAAAAAAAAAGCAGCAGCAACAGCAAACAGTGTAACAAAAAAGGGAAATATAAAATCAGGTACAAATTTTCACCAAAAAACAGAAAAAATGAGTTTACATCGCGGGCTCTGCTGACGTCGGCCGTTGCATTGTCATTATTGGTTGCCATGGGCGTAGAGAAGGGGATTCCCCATGTAAATGACAGCGAAATGTGGGTTTTTAAGAATAAATAATTTAACCACAAAAACGTCTACCTGCTAATCCATAACAATTCCCTTAGTAGCTTAATGTTACACAGATCTTTATTACATTAGTCAACTCTTAAGCACATACATAAGTTTAAATTTATTGGTATAAGCAAAAATAAATGTTTTTTTACATATGTTTTAAATGTAAAGATAAAGTTATTTTCAGTTAAGCTTGTTTAACTGAAATATATTATTCCAATTTCGACAAATTATACTTGTAGTTATAGACAATAGACAAATATAGTTACAGTTCATTTTTTTAGAATGTTGGATTCATTGCTCTTTTGGCAGGTGATGTAACCGACAAATAAACGACGATCAACTTATTCCTTAAAGTGATAGTAATTTAAATACTAAAAAGTTTCTTAAAAATATCACTTACAACTCTGAACAAAAAGATAGTTATGGATTTCAGATGATTTTTTTCTATTTTCTGTGTCCGTAAGCATTATAAATTCTGTAGATTTCCCTATAAATATAATTTGACTTTTAAGCGTTCTCTAATCCCCCTGAAATATTTCCAAGCTCACGACCATGTAACTTGGCTGTGGAAAAGCTGGCTTGGGCCTGACTTTGACGATTTCGTGGTCACACAGTGTGAAGAATGGCTAGGAAATATTGTATGCACCGTTGTTTGGTGGGCTGTTACAGATTTACAGATTACTGCGCCAGATAACAAATGAAAGTGCCCTGGCATTTGTTTTTTTCGTTTTTTTTTTCAGTTGCTCCGCTCGTTGGGCAGGAAAGAAACCCAGAAGGAGGCGATGGTTACAACAATAGAAAGAAAAACGTTGACTCAACCTTTTAGCTGAAAAGAATAACAGCAATTTGGGTGGGTTTTGGTTTACATATGCTTTATGGGGAAAGATCGTCGATAAGAATTATACTGATCTGGACTTAATGTGGAAGAAAGTCTGGTTTGAGATTTCCAGCTATCCCTATCCTTACCTTGTAATTCTAGGCAACTTACTTCTTAAGTGTTTGAAATTTATTATGGTAAGTGATTTATGTTTTTTCAATTATTAACGTAACATTCTTTAATAATAAATTATTTATAAATCGTATTAATTTTGTGCGATTTCGTTTTGCTTTTTCGTGCTTTGTAGAAAATGTCATTTAAAGACTTGTACACATTTCAATATATCCATAACATTTACATATTTCCTTCGAAATGATGATTTTTGGCCATCTAAGGACCAAGTCAACTGTTTTGTCCTAGGTGAGTACCGTTGTTTCTGGTGCCTTCTAGTTCTTAGTTGTAAATGCCTGTGACATGACTAATTGTATTTCAGCTTTACTTCCTGGTTTGTCTTTTTTTTCTTACAACTTTATTGAACTATAGCAATATGTTAGTGCACTTATTAAGATATGCCCATTAATATTAAGACATAGAGAGGCCAAACCATGCATTATACTTTATTCATTAACAATTGAAGCTTTCGTAAAAAAGTTATTTAAGAATTCAGAAATTTATGTTAAAACTAGTTTTTTTTATTGTTTTTAATTACTGTTTGCTTATACATAACAGAGGCTTGAATTAATTTTTTTTTAATAAAAAACGTGATTTTAAAAATAAGCCAAAGCTTGTTCTTTTATGATACTGCTCGGTTAGTTCTGATAATTGTGTTTGTTATTTTGCCAGAATATCCCCCACGTGGCGACAACCCTAGTGAATGAAGTTTTGCAACACTGCGTTGACATTTTGAAAAGGAAAGAGATTCTTGTCATTTTGAAAAAAAAAGTTTAGTGAAATATCCGATCGAATATGGCCAATAAATTCCGGAATTTGGGCGGCAAACTGTTCCAGCTGGCCAATGGCATCTTCAATGGGACTTCGGTGCGTCCGCGGATGAGTTTCCCGGGTCGCGCCTTTTCCGGCAGACATCCGAAGATGCTCGGGGCGTTGGGAGCTCTGACTGGAGCTGCGGGACTCTTGATATACGCCCTGGAGACCAGTGTGGACGCCTCCTCGGACTGCGTGCATCCGCCACATCAGCACTGGAACCACACTGGCCTGCTGTCCGCCTTGGACAAGGAGAGCGTGCGTCGAGGATACTTCGTGTACAAGGAGGTGTGTGCCTCGTGTCACTCCTTGCAGTACATGGCCTACCGCAATCTGGTTGGAGTCTGCATGACGGAGTCGGAGGCCAAGGCGGAGGCGGAGGCCATAACCGTGCGAGATGGCCCCAACGATGAGGGAGAGTTCTATGATCGTCCCGGCAAGCTATCGGATCATTTTCCCTCTCCCTATGCCAATGAGGAAGCCGCCCGTTCCGCGAACAATGGCTCCTATCCCCCGGATCTCAGCTATATTGTATCGGCTCGTAAGGGTGGCGAGGATTACGTGTTTGCCCTGCTCACAGGATATTGTGATCCTCCTGCCGGATTTGCTCTAAGGGATGGGCTGTACTTTAATCCGTATTTCTCAGGTGGAGCGATTGCCATGGCCAAAGCAGTTGATAATGAGGTGATTACCTTTGAAGATGCCAATGTGGCGCCCTCGGCTGCCCAGATCGCCAAGGATGTGTGCGTCTTCCTCAAATGGACATCGGAACCGGAGTCGGATGAGCGCCGTCTGCTGGTCATCAAGGTTACGCTCATTTCGGCCTTCTTAATCGGAATTTCTTACTACATCAAGCGTTTTAAGTGGTCCTCGCTGAAGTCTCGCAAGATCTTCTTCATCCCCGAAATGGAAGCCCAGGCCAAGAGAGAGGCGGAAAAGGCAGCTGAAGCCTTGACAAAGGCCAAGGAGCAGGAGTGCAACAAGTGCGAGAACAAGAACGAAAAGAAAGAATAATCTTGGTGTACCCTGAAATAAAGGCTTTTGAATTTAAACGTTTAGCGCGCTTTTGTTATCGATAGGTTGTTCAGGGCTACAGTAGCAGTGTTGTAAAAAAGCAACATGTGTTCTGTTAATGCCGGTCTGTTGTGGTGAAACAGCTGTTATGTTAAAGGAGTAACAAAAGTTGAAGTGGGAAAAAATAGTATTTATTTATTTAGCTTGATTGTAATGGCAACTTACCCCTCTCGGAAGTTTATGGAGTGCCTGCAGTATGCGGCTTTTAAACACCGCGAACAGCGACGCAAGGTAAGCTTAATTTATCCATGAAAAGTCCGAATTTTGGAGCTAACATAGTCCTGTTTTTCCATATTTTAAGGATCCTAAGGAAACTCCCTATGTGAATCATGTGATAAATGTGAGCACTATTCTATCCGTGGAGGCTTGCATCACAGATGAGGCGGTCCTAATGGCTGCCCTTCTTCACGATGTGGTCGAGGATACGGATGCAACTTTCGAGGATGTTGAGAATCTTTTTGGAGCGGATGTTTGCGGATTAGTCCGCGAGGTTACCGATGATAAGTCTCTGGAGAAACAAGAGCGTAAACGCCTACAAATAGCAAATGCGGCGAAAACAAGCTGCAGAGCAAAGCTAATAAAACTGGCCGACAAACTGGATAATCTGAGGGATCTGCAGGTCAACACCCCAACCGGATGGACAGAGGTGGATTGATATACTTTCCTCTTTAGAACTTCCTTTAAATCCTAACCACTTTCTTTGATAGGAACGTCGCGGGCAGTACTTCATTTGGGCCAAACAGGTGGTCGACAATCTGCGAGGCACCAATGCTAATCTGGAACTTAAACTGGATGAAATATTCCGCCAACGAGGACTCTTGTAAACTCATAACCCAATCCAATTACAAATGAACGTTCTCAGTTTTTATTGTTTTTGTAAAACGCCAGCATGAGATTGGCCAACTGCTGTGTCTCCGCCAGAGTAACCGCATTATAGAGGGATGCACGAATGCCGCCAACCGAGCGATGACCCTTCAACTGGATCATACCCTCCGCCTCGGCTTTGGCCAAGAACTCCTTCTCCAGCGCATCATCCCCGCTGGCACTGCCAATCCTAAAGGGCACATTCATCCGAGAACGCACATTTTCATCCAATGGGCAATAGAAGAACCCATTGGACTGGTCTATGGTATCGTAAATAAGCTTGGATTTGGCCGCGGACAGCTTGGCCATGCCAGCGACGCCGCCATTCCGCTTGATCCACTTGAAAACCAGGCCCATAACATAGATGCTGCAAATAAGAACATTTACCAAAGGGTTTCCAAAATAAGAAATTTATGAACCCACCCAAAAGTTGGCGGAGTATTCAGCAGCGAGCTGTTTTTATCCATCAGCTCAAAGTTCAGGATAGAGGGCGTGATCTTCAGATGTTTGCCTATCAAGTCCTCCCTGACAATGATCACTGTAGTGCCGGCTGGACCGATATTCTTCTGGGCTCCCGCATAGATCACGCCAAACTTGGAGACATCCACGGGGCGAGACAGGAAATTGGAGGACATATCAGCCACTAGTGGCACACCTGCTGGAACCTCGGGCACAAAGTCAAACTCCACACCCTCTACAGTCTCATTGTCACAATAGTAAACATATGAGGCCTTGGGATCCAGATTCCAAGTGTCCTGCGGTGGAACGGTTGTATATTTGGTCAGCTTGGGAAACACGGTGTTCACAGTGCCATACTGAGCCGCCTCTTTGGCCGCTTTAGAGGACCAGGAACCAGTGATTACATAATCAGCAGTACCAGTTAAGCCAATTAAATTCATAGCCACTGCTGCAAACTGTCCTGTGCCACCGCCTTGCATCAGCAGTATCTTGTAGTTGCTAGGGACACTCAGAAGTTCTCGAAGATCGTTGATGGCCGCCTCCTGGATTTTGGCATAGTTGCTGGAACGATGGGACATCTCCATCACCGAGATGCCACTGCCATTGCAGTTGAGAAGGTTGTCCTGGACTTCTTTCAGAACCTGTAAACATTATATGAGAGATTGTTAATATGGATAAATGTGGGTGAGAATATTGTAATTAAAACAGGTATAAATAACAATACGAAAATTTACAAAACCATTCTTGCATTTTGTATTGTTCCATTATTAGTTTTTCGGACAAAGTATGGCGAACCAGTCACAGTAATAACCTTCTATAACTAATTAATAACAATTTACTCTAATATTACAGACACGTCACGTGATAATGTAGAGTGTTACAGTAATCCCACTCATTTTACTGACCTCTTCGGGCAATTTGGCTGGACCGGCGGCGAAATTGATAACCATGTTGATGTTGTTAAGCGTCTGGGATCTGTGAACCTCTCCGGGAAGCCGCTAAATATTAACTAAAGTGTTGAGCAGCCAGTATATTCGCAATCGTTGATAAACGAGACGAAGGCAGCGGAAAGAACAGCAACAAGTCAATGGGTGCAATAAACAAAACGCGTGCGGAAAAACAGACTTAAACTCGCCCGACTGGACAACGAACTTGGTTTGCTCAGGGGCGGAATATCCATAAAGAGGGCATCTTACTTAAAACATACTGCCTCTGAAATGCGCTCCTGAACAATCAACGAAGCCAGACAAAGATAGGCGGTACGGCGAATTCAATCAAAACAAGTCGGCAAACCGCATGGCGAATTTATTCGCCTATGTATGTATATATTTATACATATATACAACGCACGAAAACAATATGCTCCCCATGCTCCCCTTTTACCCCTTTCCCCCATTTAGCGTGGGTTGCCATGCACTTTTCGATGGAATGACAATAACAACAGAACGACTGAATTGACGACCGAGTAAACAAGCTCCAAGCAAAGTATGTGAGTGCATTGTACAGTCAAGCCCCGTCATGTGCTACTACATTCTTTTATTATTTCACAGCTCAAGGGAGTATTTGTCTATACTTTACTTTGTTTATCGTGAAAGTAATTTGTATCTGGTGGGTGTATTTTGTTCTGTTTTGTAAAGTAAACAATATTTGAAAGCTTTATATCACAAAATCTTTTTAAGGTTTTTACATACTTTCAAATGAGAATTCTAAATATTAAAGGAAATGGTTTAAGATTGTCTTAAAGAAACGTTAGTTCCAAAGTTAGAACATGTTCCTTATTCATACATTATTTTATTCTTTCATTAATGTATTTATTTATATATGCTTATATATAATTATTTTTTTTATTTGCTTATAAAATTCAGGAACAAAATTATTTTAAATAATATCCCCAAATTTTCTCTAACAACTTTTCACAATTTAACTGTGAAACACCAAAGCCTCTACCGATCAAGACTTCCTCGAAAACTTTTATGATTTTCCATATCTGCAATTGATTCCTTATCCCCTCCATCCGATTAGAAGCGATTGTAAAAGGGCAATCAGAACTGCTTAGACCTATGTTACGAATTCTTATCTTGGCCTATGTTTTGGACAAATTCGGTGACCGTCTAATTACTTTATAACCGCCGCCGCCCTACACAGCCGGCATGAAAGGTGCTTAAAGTTTCCAATTTACTTGAACGCCCAAAACGAATTTCCAATGAGAAGCTGGGCAACGTGTCTGGAAACCCAAACGTACTCGGCTCGTGCGTTCAATTTTGCTCTAAGAGGAGGAGAATGTGGGTGTTACTGGGTGTTTGTGGGTGTTAGTAGGTGTTTGTGGGTGCTTGTGGGTATTACTGGGGTACTGGTACCGCTGGGCGGTGGGAACTGGTTCGCTTGTTCGGATGTGGGCTGGTCATTCATAAACGTTAAGCCAAAAAGTCAATAATTTTGCCCTGTAATGTTGATTGCACAGCTCAGTGGGGCGCTTTTGGCTCCAAGACGTCCGAATGGTATTCGAAAAATCTTCAAACAACAATTTCGTTTTGACTAATTAGGGTTTTTAAGATTTATTGCCTGGCGTTGGGTACAGCTGCCTTATAAATAAGTACATAATTTCTGTTATTGCGGCTCCGCCTGCACTTTGTTCACAATGTCGCTCCAAAAGGTTCCGTACTCCTGTAGCACAGTGCCCCTGCAACGGAAAAATGAAAATGTAAATTCCGCCATTCAGCAAGTCATGATTGTTTTTAATTTATACGACAAGATTGCATGCGATGTGTAGCTGCGGCTATAAATAGGTAATAATTGATGATTCGACAATTTCAGGAGAAGATTTAGAGATTTAGGTAACACTGGACTATAAATATAATGTATCTTATGCAGAGATAATTATAACTTAACTGAATTATTGAAATATATTAACCTAATATAAATCTTGTATAATTTCAATACAAACTATTAATTCTTAAAAGTGTTTAATAAAGTCGTTCTTTCTTTAAGAAAAATATTGATTTACATTCTGAATATAAAGTTTATCTACAATGTTTTCCTTAACTTTTCTTGTCTGTTGTTGATTAATTCCCATATTTGCATATTTGCGCTGGGTAAAATGATAAATGATACAAGTGTCCGAAGAGTAACTTCTGTTTGGTTAATTCACATTTGGCACTCCTTTATGTTGGCCAGTGTTAACTGCTGACAAAGTTGCTGCTGCCGTATAAAAAGCATTGACAACTTTTCTTCGGCTTTTTGACGTTGTCAGTGCGTGGCGTCTTTTGCCATTTGATGCCTTTTTTGTGGACGGATGATTGGGAGACTCTTTTCGCCTGCCTTTTTCCAAATAAATCAATTACATAATGTCTTTTGTGCGATTATCCGGCAAGTTTTTGTCGGCCTGACAATTATGTGCACATTACATTATGTGGGTCAACGTGGCGTATGATTAATGAATCCCTTCACGACCCACGATGATGGTGTTCTTCTACTGCCGCTTCTGATGATAATGATGATTGTTATTATGATGGTGACGGGCGATAGAAGACACGTACTGTATTAGTACGAAGTCAGTTTTGACAAAGTGTTTCATTGAAACCGCCAAAAATGGGTGTTAAACACCATTTTATTAAATTAACTTATTCTCGAAAATTGACCATGAGTCACATGACTTTAAGGCGGAACTGAATAAACTCTAACTATGTTAGCAGCTTAACATCTTGTATAACAGTAGGTGAGATTTTTCTTTTCATTTTTAAACGTAGTAGTATAATGTTTTTTTGCTTCGGCTTTATAGTTATGTTTAATTGGTTAAGTGGCCTTTCAAGTAGTGAATTTATTTGTAGCCTTTAAAAACACACTTCTTGTTTTATCCTCCTGTTTAAATTTGGCTTATGTTTGGCTTTTAATTACTCAGTATCATTAAGATACACCCTTAATTTCAGACTTACGTGAAGTAGACATTGCCCTTCTTATTCTGCGGGGCCTTCCAGATCAGCTTGGCGCCCAATTTGTCCCGATTGTCCGAATGCGTGATAGCCGAGCACTCCGGAATGGTCTTGGTATTCTCGCTCTGCACCCACTCCCCGATCCACTCGTTCGAGTTCGAATCCCGTGCCTGCAGGAAGAATCCCCGGAAGACGGTGCTCTGGTCCGAGTGCGGATATATCACAACCGATATCTGCTGACCGGGGTGATAAGTCTGGGTGTCGGCCACCACCTCGAAGGGATTGGAGTGAGCCGGTTGACTTCTGGCCTTGCCATGGTTCGGCTGGTTGGCTCTTTGCTTCACACACGTATCCGCTGGGGCCCCATCCGGAAAAGCAAGGGCGGTGCCTATCAGGAGTAGCAGCTTCAGGGATATCCAGATAAATTGATCCTTCATGACTGTAATTTAGATTTTCCTGATCGTGGGAAAATGCGCGCGCGCTCTCAGCTAATCTAACGGCAAAACTCGGCTCGCGGCCGCCATCGCCGGCCGTTTATAAAGCCACGCCGCAATGCCAAAAGCTCTGCAGCCGCCGAAGACATGGGCGGGCGGTCAAAACTGAGAGATAACAACAGTTGAGGGCGAAATAATAGCACCCTAAGGTGAAAAATAAATATGTTACCAAAAGTAAATTACTTGTTCTATAGTTAAGTTGTTCTATAGTATAGTTAAGTTCATTTAATTAATCTACAATCATTTTATTTTGTTTGTTTAAAACATATTGAAGGCAAATAAAAACGAATCGGCTTCTGGTTTTAGGTATACACATAAAATATTTTTGTGTTTGTTCGCTTTGGATAAACCATTACCTTAACACACAAACGTTTTGAAAAATTGTTTTTTTTCAATCAACTTTATTTTTTTTTGTAGTTTTATAGTAGTTTTTAAAATTATTTGTTATAAATTTTATGCAGGGCCTTGGCTTTAATCAATTTTTCATAGCAATGAAATCTACTTGCAAATAATTATTTTGTGTGTAAAATATAAAAAGAATTAATGAATGAAGAAGATAAATCATCGTCAGATGCTCAATGGCTTGTAGGTCGTAATTATTAATGATTTATATTGACTTATTAACGGTTAGCTCTGCAGCTATTAAACTCACCACAAACGTATTAAGCGCTCAGCTGGCTGCGGCCAACCAGTTTTTAATGATCAAAAAGCAAATAGCCAAAACATAGTTCCTTTCCTGCACAGTGATCCAAACTGGGTCACACATTAGTCCCTCCCCTGAGTCGCCGATTCGGATTCGGTGTTGAAGTCTCGGTTCCAAACTCTAGCTCTAAGTGCTCCATTGCGAAATTCTATGCTTCTAATCGCTGAAAATGTTGCCTGTATGGCTGTTTCGTCGTTTGTTTATTTTGCGCCTTTTCGGTGCATTTTTCAGCACGTTTTAATGTTTTAATTGACAGGCAGCAGCCGTTGGCGTTGATTTCGCTGAATTGAGTTAGTTTTGGTTGGGGTTTGGGGTCTGTTTTTGTTTCTGGGGGTTTTTCTTTTTCCTCCTTAGATTCCGCTGCGTTTCGCATTTCGCAGTTGCACGCAGCGGTTTCCTTTCTGGGCTCCGCCAACGCTGTCTCTCGCTGGAAAATGGTTTTCCTCCTTTTTTTATTCAATTTAGTTTTGGCTAGTCAGATATTTATTTAACAAGACAGAGGTAATATGTTGTAAGAATAATGAGAATATTATATTTGTAATTCCTTAACCGTACATATAATCTACATCAAAGTAATATAAATAAATTAGAAAATTACCCTTTCTAAAGAAAACAGCTTTAAAATAATAAATTTCATTTTTATTATTATCTGATTCAACCATTTATTTTATTACCATATTTAGATTTAATTTATTTTATCAAGGTAATGCTAAATTTAAATTTGTGTGCTCATTATGGGTCATCGATTGCTTTGCTCTAAATCTAATAACTGCACTAAAACGAAACGTTTATAATGATTTAGAACAAAAAAATATTTAATAAAGTGCCAATTAGTTTCCGCTAACTTTAATTAGCTTGTTTTAGTTCTGTTTGCCGCACATGTTCATGCTCTTCACACAGCCTTTCAAATGGCACAAAAAATTATATTTTGATAAATGTGAAAATAAAACAAAACCATTCCTTCCCAAAATACCATTTTATTGCTTGGATATTGCCACCGGACACACGCACACACACTTTAAGCAAACACAATTTAAAACTTGTTTCATTAATTAAAATGTTCGGTTAAATATTTAAATTGGAAATGCTAGAGTCAGCAACGTTTGTGTGCACAAAATTAAATTGTTTACTTTTTGCAAAATGTGTGCGCTCAAAAATGCGATAAATATAATTTTAGATTGCATATTGCCAAAACACACACAGTGCTGAACTTTACAATTGGGTATTGCCTCCTATTTGCATTTCTTGTTAGCCGCACTGCAAAAGGTCAGTTAACCCGGGGAGCTTAATCCAAAGACGAGGCTGGCCGAAAGGACATGTCATTCATTATGGATGCGACGAATGCGAACTTTCGGCTCCCTGAACTGGGCAGCAGCATCCCGAAAATATTCGGCCACTTAAAGTGACATTTGCGCCACATCACACCAGTTTTCTTTATCTAACACACAAAGAAATAACCGAAAATGGGAAGTAAATAAGTTTTGATATAAAATTGTACTTTTAGTGGAAAGTCTTATTTATATTTTAAAGTTTAATATTAAAAATAATTTTTTTTATGTTGTTACGAAAATTTTACTTATTAGTTAGAACTTTTTATTTATTATTTTTTGTTTGCTTGGGTTCATACCCTATATCTTTAAAATTTATTTTATAATATATTGATCGAAATAGATTACTTTCAAGATTCATATAAAATTGTTTTATTACATTAAAACAAGCTTATAACTCAAACATTTTGAGGATTAGTAAAAAAAAAAAAACCTATGAACTATAATAATATATTATTTCAAATATGAAATCTAGTCTTAAACTACATACTTAAGATTAGTCTTCTACTTTTAAAAAACATTCTATAAATTTAAGTTTTTTTCCGTGCACTCATCCTCCGGGCAATGCATGCGAAATTCACTTCAAAATAAAGATAAAAAATAGTAGGGAAACGAAGGAAAACTGCCTGCCGCCTTAAACCGATGTGCCATGTAAATAGAAGAGTTTATGGGCAGAGGGAGCGAAGGGCCAAGTAAAATTCGGAAAATCCACTTCATCGGCGACGGTTGGCGCGGAAAAGTGTGTCACCTGCAGGTCCCTAGTGCGCAGGTCCTGTGAGAGGAAAAGCGGCTGCCGCCTGCTGGTGAACCCAAGACTTTTCACCAACGACATTCGCATTTTCCACCAAGGCTGAGTAAATCCAATTCAGAACGTGGTCAGACGTTGTAGCGCGTGGTCGTGAAATTTTCCGAGACGAAAATCAAAGGAAAAACAAACAGTGCGAGGCAGCAGCAACAACAGCAACAACTAACTAGAGCAAAGGAAATTGTGAGCAATTTTTATTTTAGTAGTATATTTCCATACGCGCGCGTCTGTGTGCGTGAGTGTGTGTGAGTGCTAGTCTGTGTGAGTGTGTGACTGTGATGATGAACAGCGTGCAACAAGAAAAAATAAATGCCAAAAAGTGCCAAACACAAACAAAAAATGAAAACACAAAAAAAAATAGATGGCGAGCAAATATTTTTCTGCTTGAGCAGGGCAAAGAAAAGCACAAACTGCAGAGTATCCATGCTTAAAAAAAGTGAAAAGCAATCAAAGTAATAAACGAAGGGGGATGGCGAAACCGAAAGCAAATCAAAAAAATCAATGCCTTTTCTGCGGAATTATACGTTGCGTATACGTGATATGTACAGAGCCAGCCAAATAATAATAAAGGAAATTCTCACGTGACGCATAAAAAACCAACACACACAAAAAGAACACATAGGGACACGGCATGACCCGTTAAACACACACACACTTGTAAACTTACTACCTGGAGCACAAATTGAAGTTGGCGAAACATATTTGCGCAGCAAAGTTGCTACACTGAGAATAACACAATTTACGGGTTTCTTATTTTGGGTCAAAATGTTTACCATACATTTCTTATAAACAATATAATTATATTTCTCTTAGGTCTTAACAAAATAATTGCCATATTTTATTAGGAAAATGAAATTAAAAGCCATATACATACATATTGTTTTGAAAATATGTAAAACATATAAATTGGACTTAAAGCGAAAAAACAATTTTAATTTGTTATATTAATCGAAAAGTTTTTGAAAAGTTAGTAGGTGAAATACTTTGCTTTAATGGTGAAATAATGAGTGAGCAACCAATTCACTCGCAGTTTGACAAGTCCAACCAGTAGAATATAATCAACTAAACTGGTCCTTTGATCTGTATTCGTTTCTCAGTGCAGTAGGAAGCATATGATTATGATGAGCTTGTCTTGCATACATTTTTTTGGGGCTGGTACCTCGAAAAAGACAACAGCTGGATGGTCGAGTGGGTGACTGGGTGGCTTGAGATTGCCTTTTGCCGCATTTGTTGCCGCTATTTTGCATACATTGAATTTAATGAACTGCCTGTGTGTTTGTGTTGGATTTGCTTTTAATAATTTAGCTGGCAGTGGACTAAATGGCGCTTTTAAAGTATGAACCGTCAGGCGACCCCAATATGAGCGACAAACGAGCAAGATGAGGCAAAAATAAAAAAATATAAAAAAAGAAAAGGAAAAAGGAAAACACGAACCATTTAATGCCCCTTCGCACCCTCGGTGCGCTTGTGTAAGTGTGCAACCCCAAGTCGGAAGGGCAGGCATACTAACACACTTTAGGAGGACTACGTCATCCTGGCCCAGAAGCTTTGAAGCCAGCAGCCAAGCCAAACCGAGCCAACCAAGCCAAACCAAAGCGAACTGAGCTGAAGCCCCGGGTCCTTCCTTCCAACTTTTCATTGCCGTCGCCACATTTTCGCACTCACAATCACATCGCGTGGCATATTCATAGGCGTAAGGATACGGCATAGGCATAGGCATAGGCATAGGGTCTGGCCTCCACTAATACACTCTCTTAACTACACACACACACGCAGACACAGTGTGCACATGCACAGTGGGGTGAAGTTATAAGGACTCGAGTTCTGCTGCTCCCCTTTGGATCGATTCCGGGTAACACAGACTTTGCGGCAGTTGCCATCGCACACACTGACGGAAAATAGGGCTACTAAAATCTGTGGTGCCAAACTCCATTTTTTAGGAGTATTAAATTATAAATTTTCGATCCAAGAAACATGTACTTCGTTTCTTATCGTCATTTATTTTATTCTTAAAAACAAATTGTTCTTATTTCTGAAGTTTAAACAGTTAAAGCTGATAAGTAGCTCACAAAAAGTTTAATCCTCTCAGCAAATCACGAAAGTTTTCTAATTTTCTATTTATAATTTTAACAGACCCAAAGTGGAAAGAAATATATTTACAGATTATAAATTCAATCTAGGAATTTAATATATCCAAACTGTAGTAAAAATAGTTTGAAAAGTTGTCTAAAATGTAAATAAAGTATTATTTAAAATTGGATAAGAAAATTATTTATTTGTTCCTTGTTTTTAAGCCTTAAGTTTAAGATTTCAACAAAGATTTTAGTCAGAAAAGAGGTTAACATGGTTCTCTTAAAGCAAGTTGTTTAATTTCTCAGTGCATTGTCAGCAGTTGCAGTTACTTCGCTTACTGCTGCACGACAATCTGCATGCGGCATGACATCGAGGAGCTAAGGACATGGATTGGAGGCGAGGGGCGTGGCAGATAGTGGTTCGATGGAGACGTCATCAATTTCTATCCAGCCTATAAATATAGTAAAAGCATTTCACAGAGATGCCTTTGAGCGGCGGCGGAAAGTGTTGCAGTAAATTTCGAGCAGATCCGACTGCCGGCATGACCCTTGACCTTCGACTTGCACCATGTGGCATGTGCCCGCTTATGCTTCGATTTGCTGTCCCCGAAACCCCCCTTCCCTTCCTCACCCGCCTGCCCAACTGCAAAATCATTTGCCATCGAAATCGCATGTCGACCGGCTGAAATAATACAAAAAACAAGAAAGGAAAGCTAACTTCGGGCGGAGCCGAAGTTGATATACCCTTGCAGAATATTATGTACATTATACTCTCCAAAATTATGCATATGATGCATTCTTAATACTCATAAAAAATCCCAACTTCCTAACTTTAAAAACACCGAAGTTATGGCATTTCCAATCGTTCAGTTATATGGCAGCTATAGGATATAGTCGGCCGATCCTTATGAAATTTGATAGGTCGGATTGATTGGTCAAAAATAAAACCCATAGAAAATCCCAGCTTCCTAACTTAACAAACACCAAAGTTATGGCATTTCCGATCAATCAGTTACATGGCAGCTATAGGATATAGTCGGCAGATCCTTATGAAATTTGGTAGGTCGGATTGATTGGCCAAATATAAAACCCATAGAAAATCCTAATTTTCTAACTTTACAAACACCAAAGTTATGGCATTTCCGATCAATCAGTTATATGGCAGCTATAGGATATAGTCGGCCGATCCCGGCCGTTCCGACTTATATACTGCGTGCAAAGGAAAGAAGGCTGTGTGCAAAGTTTCAACTCGATATCTTTAAAACTGAGAGACTAGTTCGCGTAGAAACAGACAGACGGACAGACAGACGGACAGACGGACAGACGGACAGACGGACAGACGGACAGACGGACAGACGGACATGGCTATATCAACTCAGGAGGTGATCCTGATCAAGAATATATATACTTTATAGGGTCGGAGATGTCTCCTTCACTGCGTTGCACACTTTTGACCAAAATTATAATACCCTCTGCAAGGGTATAAAAAATAAATAAGTAAGACAAGTAAAACAGAAAAAACCGAAAAACCAACCAGAAATCCTTGTCGCACAGTTTGCGTTTATAATTTATATATTACGTTCCTGCACAATATACGAGGCTTCTCTTGTTTTAGTTGCGCATTTGGCCTTGTCTTGGCCAAGTATCCGTATCCGAATTCGAATCCGAAAGCCGTGTATGAGGATCCGTGTATCTGTGCCCATTGGCGGAGGCCTTTAAGTGCGCCCGATGGCATTTCGGGGTTCTCTCGTTTAGCCCAAGGATCTGCCCGCTTTATGGCTATTAAAATATGCATTTAAATATACCCCATACACCATATAATCTCTGATGCGGCCTGCGTCTGTCTCCGGTTCGAGGGTTTCAGTTCGAGTTTGGGCTTGCGTTTTGGGTTTGAGTGTGTGTTCCTTTGGGGCGTTGTTGAAAATTGAAATTGTGCGCTTATTTATGGAGCCCTGCTAGGGACGCTGGCGTTGATTGCCGTAACGCCCCATTGCCTGGTACATGACTATAATAATGATTGCCATTTTTATAGGCCAGCTACTCGGCTGCGAAGATAAATTGTTTGTGCCCGCCGCTGGCTGGAAAATCGTTTTGCTTCGACATTTGAATCCTTTTGCTGGAAAGTTTCGGCTTGATTTTCGTTTGGCAAATAGCTGCTGTAGTGGGTCAGCATGAATGCCAATGAAGTGGCAACCGCATTTCCAGATTAAGCAGGGCTTCCACTGCGTATACTTAATTTTTTGGACAAATACTAGAGAGTTTGGACTTTCGTTAGTTGACAGCTCCTCCCACTAATTAATTGCACTAATTAATTTGGCTGAGGTGAGTCTGTAAATTGCGTTTAGCCCCATCCCGTTATACTGAGTGTGTGTGTAGCTTAAGTAGCTTAAGGATAACTAACTGCCTGCTTGTGTGGGTGACCATCTCTGGGGCTTTGGCTGCGTGCGTCCCACCTCCAGGATAAATAATACAATTGCCAGCGGTCGCCTGGCCCCGTTTTGCTCATGACACAGACCGGAGAAGTCAAGCGCCAGAACTTGTGGCTGAACACCGCCAAGTGCCCCTTATTATGACCCCAGTATATATATATATACATATAGTATATGTCCGGGCTGCACGTGTGGAATATTAAGCAAACTGTGCAAACAGTCGTTGTCACATTAACCATGTCATGGCAAGTGCATATGCCAGTCTATCACCTCCGACACTTGGCTTTCCAATTGAAGAGTCTTACACTAGGAAAAGCATTGATATCTTATTCAATTCAAATTTTGATATTGGATTTAACTTTTATAAAAAAAACAATAATTTGTATATTTTTAACATAAAAAAAATTACAACAAAAATTGGGAAAGCTTGTTTTATTAATCTGCATACATTTTTAAAAATCCGACCTACCTTACAGAAAGAACAACAAGAAACCTATTCCCCCAAATATAAAAAATAGCACTAAGAATTGAATTTAGTTTTTATAAAAATAAGATTCGAAAGTCAGTAATTAAATACAAAAGCATTCCGTTTTGTTTGAGCATTTTTAATGAAATTCTTGTCAAAGCTTTTAATTAACGTTATGAAAGTCGGCGAATAAATTCCGACTAAACAGGACTTTAT